ATATATGATGATAAGAGAAAGAATCTTACCATAAGCTCAAAGGATTACAAACATAACATGAGTTTAGGAAACACCTTCACCATAAAACCAAGAGACACACATTAGTGATTATCTCAACTGGAGAGAGGAAAGAAGAAAAAAAAGATAATAGATTTAAGTTATTATCAATGTTTAATTTTTTGGTAAGGTTGTATCTTCACTGATATTATTATTAAAACTAATAATGTACAGAAAGTGGTATTTACAAAGGAAATATGTGAAGGACAAAGATGACTAAGAGGAGGAAAGAAAGAAGTTCATAGATAAGGAAATACCATCTTTAAAAAGTCTAACACAAGATGTTCATAATAGGCCAAAAGTGAGTGTGGAAAGCTGTGTTATTGAAATAGTATACCTGATAGCAATGAAATACAAAGTTCCAACTCAATTTAAGCCAAAACAACAACAACAAAAAAAACAGTAGTTAACCACCAAAGTAAACAAAAATTGGTTGTTAGAATACACAGTGGCTACATCTTGTTAATCAGAATATTTTTACATGAAAATCATCAGTCCAAAGTAGTTTGACAGCTTATTGATAATCTAGGTGCTGAGATAACCGAAAAGAAATCTAATTCATGAAAAGGCCTGAATTGATTCTCCATCATCAAAAGTTGAATATGCACAATAAATGTTATGCCTAGTTAAAAGAGAGATCCAAATGAATGCATCAAAGGAAAAGGATAATTTTTCAGAGGACGCTTTAATAATCTTAAAAGAAAATTCATAATCATTCCTAAGACATCTGACACTATGTGATAATTACATCAATGCAGAATGAGGATTCTCTATGATGTTGGCTGTACATAGGCACTCAGATAATAACAGTCAAAACTGGCCCAACAAATGTGGTCCCATGTTCAGTATAGGAACTGATGAGAATCATGTGGTAAATGGGTTTGAAAGAAGGATCATCTCGGGACACTCAGAGAATTTCATCTGGTCTTCATTTCCTTAGATCACAAATGTATACCTTGAATAAGCAGCTGCTGAGGTTGACTGGCAGAAACATTAGGTAATCTCTCTAGTTTTCTTGGGCTTCACACTTTCTATTAATCTCCAGGGCTGTGTAGCAACTCTGTTTCTCCTCAATATTCAAGACCAGTTAACTCAGATAGCACAATAATCCTCTTATGTGCCTGTTAATTTAACGAAACAAAAAGTCTCAGGCAGCATGGTGTCATCAATCTCTACATGAGGCTCTGTGGTTAACTCAAATTCTTATATCCTTTGGTGAGAAAAAATTTACTCTTGGAAGGTGAGCTTACTACAATGTTTTGAGTATTAGAATGATCAGATATGGTACATAAGAATATTATAGTTATAATAATCATAAATCCTTTTTCCTGGTACCCATCTATCATATTTTATGTAAATTGTCTCAGCACTCTACTAGTTTAACATTCCTCTGGATTTTTCAATTTTGTAGTAAACTGTATTACTAGTAATATCACAATGGTTATAAATGGAATTGTGGACTCCCACATAGTTTGTGAAGTTTGTGTCATGTTGTTGGGCAATTAGCACCCTTTTCCCACCCCACTCCCTCCTAGATCTCTTATGGATGCTTTTTATTCATCCATAAGATGATGGAAAGCCTGTTTATCAAGTAAAGCTGAGTGTATTTCAATTTTTAGAAAAGAAACCAGCATGAGCTTGGTAGAGCCGGAGAAGGTTTTTAAAAGGCATATGCCTTAGAAAGATGGCCAAAATATATTCCGAGGTCTGGTGAGTCACAGGGTGATTGTACACCAGATTTGGGGAATCAAGGTCTGATTGAGGTTTTACTATAACTTGTAAACTAGAGAATTATCAGAATCATCAGATGTCTTATTTTTGAAATATACAAGGCTAGAATGCTTTACTAATTCTGCATTTAATATACTTATATTTGAATTAGTTGTTAAAATAATTTGAACCTCGTTTTTATTGAACTTTATGATTTGCTATAAGTAGCCATTTTAAAAATTATAAATATTTTGAAAATTGTTGGTTTTGTTTTATTTTACTATACAAGTTAATAAATGTGTTCCTTTGAAGGACAACAGGTACAATTAAAAATATTGTCAGTCATTATCTCCAAATTTCAATCATTACCTAAATTTAGATAATTTAGCATCCCATTTTCAGTCTCAGAATTTTCCATTTTAATAGAATTATTTGTATATTATTATTTTTCCATGTAAGGATACTATTCCTGGTTTCATCCTTGCTCTTAACTTCATTTATTCAAACAAGAAGAGATATGGGTGGTACCACAGATCCCTGGACAGCTCATTCCAGACACCAGTGCCCCACATTTGCAAGATACTGTCCATCTAAACTCCCAACACAACTGAAGCTTCCGGGGGTAGTTCTACAATTCCTTGAAGCCAGCCTCATCTGGAGGTTGTGGAACATGAATGACAATGAGGAATGCTGGGAATATTGGCCCATAACCATAATAGCCCATGTGTATAAAGAGATTAACAGTAGAAAAGAGAAAAGACAAATAGAATGGAGGAATAGGAAAACAAAGAGGGATTAAGGTAAGGTGCTTGTTGTGGTGGCACTACCAGAATTTCATTAAATCATTATTACATAGATTTTATCTCTAAAAAGACTATTCATGTCTATTTTTTCAACATTGAACTTTCATTTTACATTTGATTTAACTGAGCTTTGGAAAACACAGTTTACTGTATAAAACTCATGAAACATATTAATAAAATATGGTCCCTTTAAATCTTGTCTAGGGGGTTTTCTACATTTGAATTATATTGTTACCTGAAACAGTGAAGTATAATTTAATTTCTGTATTCTCTTGTTCATACATTTTCAGTTTATCATTGATTTTAGGCAGTTGTGACTTTTAGTTCTTATGTAGGAATACAAAAAATATCAACAGTTTGGCTTGTGGTTCATCACACTGCATGGGAATTAAAATATTCTATCATATTTGTGTTGTTAATAGTTTTGATATTACCATAAAATTAAGCAAAATGTATCTACAGAATTTAACACCATTGAAAGTCAAAAAACTCATCACAATAGAAAAATAATTATGTATTTTTACTATGTGATACCAACAGACTATTTGGAATTACAAGGCACAGAGAATATATAAGCTTAAGTATCAAATTTCTCAGTTCCTATAAATCTATTGCATTTTCACAAGCATCAAATCTGTGTGTTTCTTCTTTCTCATTTACTTAATTTATGGTAATCTGCACTGCCAGCAGGCTCTCTGAATACCTTAGCATATTAAATGCATTTGGATAATACAAGAAAATAGGTTGTCTATCATAAAAGTAAGAACATCTTTTCTACTTTAATAACAAAAATAAGATGATTTTTTCTGATAAATAGTTTAAAATATTTCTTAAAAGAAGAGATCATTTTTCAGGAGTGAAAACAGCTTCAACATTTAAGTGAAAATAGATAAAGAAAGCATAGTAAAAATCCTCTCTTGATTGGTGTTATCCAACATAGTCCAACATAGTCGATGATGTACATGGAAGAAAGTGTGTCATTTTCTCATTTCATATGTAGACTATCTTCTTTTGCACTTTGTTCACAAGGTATGAAAATTTCTAAATTGTATGGCTTTCTGGCAAAAAAGCCAAAGGACAGATGCTTGACATTATTTTGCTTGTTAAAATACACACTGGTAGGATTCAATACCTTTCCTGTTACAGTTGTATAAGTTGCTTTCTTTATTACCAATGACTTCACATAGTTTCTGCTCAGTAAAGTGTTACATACTGTGAATGTAATTCAATGCTGATTGGGAAAATGAGGAAGGATATACTGCAAGATTTATCACAGAATTAAGAAAGTGCCAGGAAGGAACACTTCCTTTGGCTGAATGGAGGACATGGACAATTGGAGGGCTAAACTCCAAGTTTATATTAAATTATATTAGGGTTAGGTTAGATTATATTAGGGAGAGAGGAAAGGGAAAGTAGGGAAAGAAGGATGAGGGAAGAAGAAAGAAGATTCAGCAGAAGATAAGCAAGATATAAATTGACACACTATTGATATAACTAAGGCCAGGAGCTTTTCCAAGAGATACTTTAATTAGAAAATAAACATACCAGCAACCAAATAAAGAAAATTTTATCTAGATATCCTTGTTCTTAAATGGCAATGGTTTACACACAACCTTATCACATTCCTATTATCTTCAATATTAATTGGATCGACATGTATAAATCACCCTTATAATAAAAAGCAATATAAATTTCAAATGAATTCCTATTGCTAATTAATCTCATTTAAATGAAGAAGTTATTGATAGAGATTTACAATTACCTTCGCACCATGGCATACAATGCAGGGAGCAAAAGAAATAATTACTCAGTAAGTAACACAGCATTAACAATGTACTTAAGTATCAAAACATAGATAAAATATATCTGAGTAGTTAGGAAGATGTTCTGCTTTCCCTACTAACACATAAGGAGTGGAAGAAGGAGGTACACAGAGAATGTATTTATAGACAAGAACTTCAGCTTTATTTTTTTTTCCATAAAGGCTTTTAGCCAATACGGAAGATAATTGATCACTAAGGAAAAATTTGTCATGATCACGATAACTTCTAATGACTGAACATAAGTTATAAAAGAAGCATTTTACATTAAATTAAATTTCATTTAAAATGCCAGAGGAATATAGATCTCTTTTTATGGCAATGATTTCTTTTTCACATTCAAGTAGTTTGTGTTAATTTTCAGGACAGTACATCAATTTTATATTTAGTTTTGACCATTGCGGGAATACTTGCTTTTTAAATTTTGGGGATAATCTAATTTATAGAGAGTCTCTTGTATGCTGGGTACTTTTACTCAATTATATCATTTAGATTTCAGTTATTTCCTAGGTTATATTCACATTAAATCTTGATGATATTGCATCCAGGTGGCAAAGTAGAGTCTTGGTGGGATTTAAGGGTGGAAGCTGATGCAGGAAGGGGGCATGAAATTAGTCAGAAACTGCAAATCAAGGAAAGATGGCTGTGAAGGCTTTACTAAAGCCACCTGTGGTAGTCCATGTCTGCATGTGAGGACAGGAAGCTCTCTTTTCTGAGGATATGTCCTTAATAGAAGTCATTGTTCATCTCAAAAAGCAGATATCAGCAGAAACCTTAACAGGAGAGACAATGGCGACATGCTCTTCGGCTTCCCAAAATGCTGCTTTGAAAGCAAGACAAGGAAGTGAATATAAAGATGGGTGCACCAATTCCTGGGAAATTACTCAAGTAAAGGACAATATTACTAATCCAGAAAATGAAATAGTTTCCCTACTTATCCCAGAAGAGAACTGTCCTAGGCCTGAAGAGGGAGGTGTTTCTTGGGAGAACACACATAACTCCAGAAGAGCAAGATTAGGCACCTGCAAGCTGCAGGAAGAGTCCTCAAAGGCATCTTCTTACCAAGATGTCCCTGTGGATGTGGGACCAGGATTTTTCTCAAGCCAGACCAGTCCTCCCCTGAACCTGTCCCTACCAATCACAGCAATGACAGAAACTCCACTGGTGAGGACACCAAGAAAAATTCCATGGAGCTCAAAAATTGTACAAATGTGAGGAATGTCCCAAGACATTTATTTATGTCTCCCATTTATTAGCCCAACAAAGAAGACATAGGAATGAGAGGCCATTTGTTTGTGCTGAGTGTAACAAAGGGTTCTTCCAGACATCAGATCTACGTGTGCATCAGATGATTCACAAGAAAGAGAAGCCTTTCACATATAGCAGATGTGGAAAGTCCTTTACTCATAAAGCAAACCTGTGGGCTCATGAGAGAATTCACACAGGAGAGAAGCCCTATAAATGCACCCTTTGCCACAGAAGCTTCTGCCAGTCATCCACATACTATCATCACCAGAAGATTCATGAGAAACTACCATCCCAAAATATTCCCTCTACACCAGAATCTTCCTCCTTGGCCACTGGAACTACATAATGGGTATGGGTACATATTGAGATAGTTGTGTGTATAGTACTTATTATTGACAGTATGGCAATTCAATTTCCTGGTTTTGCTTTCTGTTTATATTCTCACTCCACTGAAATATGTAAGGCAAGAGCACATGGAACATGGTAGTTTGTTCAATAAAATATTCCATGTGCCTAGGAATGTATCTGATATTTCATGTGTAGTAGTTATCTGGTGAATAAACAAATGAATCTGTAAAAAAAAAAAAGAAAAGAAACAAGAAAGCCAAAATCACTTATATAGGCTTGTCGAGAGAATTGGCATTTCTTGTCATCTGCACTGAGAGAATAGAGCCAGAAACATTCTGGCAATGAACAGAAAGAAGTTTTAGGTGATAGAGAGGCACATACCTTTTTTTCTTCCTTCCTTATCAAAACTCTAATGACACACAGGATGAAGAAGGGAGAAAGGTCCTGGATACAGTCAGTGCATCCTCTTCTCAAAATTTAGGAAGGGAGTGAAGAAGGAATAAAACTCAGACCACATTTCCCGCTTCTATTATTTCTCAGTGCTATGGAACAGTGATCATATTTATGCTGAGCATGAAATCAGAGTGTGAAATTGGAATCAACTGAAGTTTTCAAAATAACCCAAATCATTTGAAAATGTGTGATACTGTCCTAAAATATTGATAATATCTTCCACACGTAGGAAAGAAAATGTATATTTAGCAAAGTGTGGGTGATTGAAGAAAAATTAAATTATTTTTGTTTTTGTATTTAACCCAAAGTTCAGACCATTCGTTAAAATTGTTCTAAAATTCCTCGAAAAGATATTCAGTGAATTTTTTTTGTTTTTTTAAATAATTTCAAGTAATTTATGTAATTTCTTTGAACTAGATTTGAAAAATGTTCTGTTTCTTTATAAGTCATTTATCAATGACCCACTCAGAGTGTTTCATATGAAGAGCACTCAATGAGAAGTTGGAGAACCAGGATTTGAAATGTATCTCAGGTACTAAATAATTGTTTGGTACTCGATATCATGAAACCTCCCTTTATATCACTTTCTATACCTTAAAAATAAAGATATTTACTGTAAGAAATTTATATTACATTATTAATACAACTCTAAACTTATTTATCTAATGGGTATCTCATGATATTGGAGAAATAGTAAAACACTAGATAAAAATAGTTGTGATGATTTAAATAATACATTAGAATGTTACTGTAATTTCATTTATTTACTGACTATAAAAATATTGTACCTGTAGTTATTGAAATAAAGCATATAAGTCTAAAACATAATTCTGTCTCATAAATGAAAGATATTTTAACCACCTCAGCACATTCAAGAAATTCAGGTAGTTTATTTTTGGTTAGTAAAAATCGTAGCAAGAAATATGAGAATATTTAAAATAACATTGCAAAACAAAGAGTAGACATAAGAACTATCACTGTATATAAAACAGGGTGGAGTAATAATAAAACACTTCAAAGGAGAGAAAGGTTATGAAGATTTCCTGAGAGCCGATAATGCAGCATATAAAAAGGTAAGTGAAATAGAGCCCTTTAAGAAAATAGGAAGCCACAAATTTGTTAAATGGTTCTTCCTCCAACCTTATCTAATAGCTTATTTGGTGTGGGTTTGGGCCATGATAAAGTACAATGCATCAAGATTTACCCTACATCATAAACAAAGGTAAAAGTAAACTCATTTTATAAAACCTGTCTTTAGTCTTCAACAAAAACATTCCACATATTTAATCCATTTTATAATGGGGGATGTGTAATCTGAAGTTCACATGCCCTGACATTCTGCCTTAGGTCCTATTTCATATGATTGCACAAGGAAGTGAAATCTTCAGAGATCAGCCCTGTCAGTGGGAAGAAAAAACATGCATCAGACTTTGGGAAGGGAGAAATAAGTGAAATTTACACATCAGGTCAGGAAAGAAAAACAATGGAGGAGGCCCACCAGAAATCTGTATAAACCACTCCTTGAGCCTTTGGCCAGATACAGAGCTCTGTGTGTACAGACTGAGACACCTTGATGCCTGGGAGAATCAAGTACCGGAGAATGACTGGGAGTTCAGTGGGCATCCCAAGGTTCCCATGATCCCAGGAGATCTGGAGTTGCTCCTGTCCAGTGCTTAGAGATTTCACTACAAGCTCGTTGAAGCAATGGAAACCAAACAGCTACACTGATGCAATGATGCAATGCTCCAAAATAAGAACTTCTCTAAACACGTCCTAGCAAACAATAAACACAAATTTTCAAAGCATCATTATGATCAATCAAAAACTTAATTACCCTATAAATTAAATGTATGAAATATTCCTCAAAGGAAGATAACATAAACTCTCACCAATGTGGGATTTATAATGTGTACCATAATGTGTACCATATTTTATAAATATACAACAAAAGAAATAGAAAAATATGAAGCATACAATAGAAGAAAATAAATAAAAGATACCCTTATGTTGATTTAACTGACAATATAATGAAAGCATTGTTATAATTATGTTCAGTGATTTTTTAAGAAATAATGGCTATTATGGACACAGATGAGAAACTAATAGTATAAAAAAGAACAAAAAAAACCCTTTAGAACTAAAAATAAAACCAGTATTTTTACATTTTAAAAAAATCACTAGATAAGACTCATAAACAGATTTGGTAGTTCATGAAAACACCTGTGAATTACTAAGATAGGTCAGTTGAAAATACCAAAATTGAAACACACACAAAAAAACCCCAAAATGAGCAGAGCATCACATCCAATACTACAATACAAATTGCTACCTATATGTGGTAATGTTATTTCAGATGTCAGAAGTGACATTAACATTAACACATTATCACTTTTCAGTCACTGGGACAAAATACCCAAGACTATTTAAAGGAGAGGCTTATTTTAGCCTACAGTTTCAGAGGGTGCAGTCCACGCATGGTCAGCTGGTTCCAAGGCAAAAATGTCATGGTAGAAAATATGGTGGAAGAAAGAAACTGAACCTATAGTAGAAAAGAAAAAGAAAAAGGAGGATTTGAGGAAAAAAATACTCTCTTTTGGGTCATACCCCCAGTGACCCACTTCCTTCAAGTAGGTCCATCATCCTAATAGTACATTCAGCTATGAACTCACAATATACTCTTCTACTCATAAGTGTAGCACCTCCATGACTCAATCACTTTCCAAAAGCCCCATTTCTGAACAGGTGATATTTGGGAGTATATATTAGATTAAGCCACATCAATAGACCTTTGTGAGAAATGCATAAAAAAAATTACTATAGAAAGCTATAAGAATTACATACATGTTAAAGCATATAACATATTCTGTATTCCACATAATCACTGCAAATATTATTTTTCTAGATTTACATAAATGTCTCTATACACAATATATATGAATATACCTCTACATGTCTGTTGCTGTATATTTTGTGTAACATATATGTAAATATAATGTATAAATTCATTATAATTTAGGATTATGTATGCCTTAAACCTAAAGTCATTTTAGAATAAGCTTTAATTATGAACAATTCGAAGATATAATTCAGCAGTTCTATTTCTGGACATTTATTCAAAATAACTGAAATCACGTTCTTGAAGAGATGTTAGCACCTCTATGGTCATTGTAGCACCACCCACAATAGCCAAGATTTGGCATCAATGCAAATGTCCATCTATGTATGAATGAATAAAGAACATGTGATATATATATATATATGTAATATATATGTGATATATATTCATATATATATCATATGTATGAATACTATAGAGCTTAAAATACTATAATACTATATTATAGTATCATAATATTATATATATCTATATTATATATAAGTATATATTTTTTATTTACAGAGATATCAAAAGTATTTTACTTACATGAGGTGTCAAAAATATCAAATTGATAGAATCAAACATATCAATGTTATTAAACAGACTGAAAAAGAAGGAAATGGGGAGTTATTAATTAATAGGCATAATATTTCAGTAAATCAAGAAGAATAAATTCTTGAAATTTGCTGTAGAACATTGTACCTATAGTTAAAAATGATGCATTGTATACCTAAAATTTTCTTAAAAGATTACATCTCACATTCAATTTTCTTACTAATTAAAATATATTTTAAAAAGGAAGATATTATTAAGCTAAATAATAATGGTGGTGGTGGTGAGTTTATGGCAAGTCACATTGTAGTTTTGGACAGATCTAGTTAAAAGTCATTAGCTCTTTTTCTAATGCATGTTTCCTAGTCCACTGTACCATGTATGAATAACATGGCCCTGGCCAAAGTAATTAACATCTCTAAACTTGAGTTCCCTGGTCTCTAAGATAAAGATATTAATATGCAAATTGTAATATTATAATGGCCACTAAATTAAAATTAATGAAAATTTTAGACATAAACATTGATAGATAACTTCAGAGGCTGTTTGAAGAATAGATATTTTAAGGGAGAGTCCTTATGGGCTTTGAATACAAGCTCTTTGTTTTTTCACTGAAATTTCCTCAGTGGTACACAAGCTATTTTTAGTCTAGGAGGTGTAACTGAAAATAAAACTCAATGAAGAATTTGCAAAAGTGTTGGTTTGTGGCTACCTGCTCTTGACATTTTTTTTTCCCATGGATCTATCCTCTTTGTGGATAAAACACACACTGGTATTGATGTTTATGCCTGAGGGGACAATGTACAAGTCTTGAGCAACTTGTGAAATTTATTTCCTCTATTGAGTAGGGTATTAAAGTTCATTAGCATGGAAATCTATTAAGTCAATTTACACTATAATTTTTTCCTGTGCAGCATACATTTGGCATTAGGTGTAGGGACTGTATAGTCAAAAAGAAACTACAGGTTATGTTGTTTGGAAAAATATTGTAGCAATATTTTAGTAACCAGTATTTCAAATCTCTCCTCTACCAAATTATATAGTATGTAATAGGTTATTTTGCATGTTTAAATCCATTAATCCTACCACTATCAAAAGAAAGAAAGTTGAAAAATGATTTATATATTCTTGTACTCATTCTAATAAAAAACATTCAGCTATGCATTTCTATGATTTCATGAGAGAAAAAGAATGCTCAATATTTAGTCAGTATTTTGATTTGTACAGATACCATAAAGGGTGTTGTACTTGGCTAAGTATTTGTTTTACAATTGTTACTCATGTTATTTACCTCTACTCTGTAATAAATCTTCAAGAAAAATCTATTTAATTAAATTTTAGCCCCTTTTTCTGCAGGGAAAATAGTAGACTTGCTTTTTCTATAATAGTTGTCATTTTGTACTTCCTTTATGATACTGCGTTCAACAATTTGAAGATAATGAATACTTAGAATTAAACTTTTTAACTTGTTTTTGTCTCATATTTTGTAAATATGTGAGGAAGTCACTGACTTTTCATTCTATGAGTAAACATATTTTACTCCTTTTCCTTACTTACTGCTAATGATATAAATTTTCATCAATGCATGCAAATAGTGTGACAGAG